GTTAGCTAGAAAACCGAGTGTGAGGTGTAAACGTTATTCGGGTGAACGTCGAAAACCCGGTTGATAGTGGATTTCTCCCCGAGAGTGGGGAGCGGAGACGTAGGACGGAAGGTCCAAATTCCGTGATTATATTGCTTGTTTGAGTTTGTCTTTGGCGTATTTGTTTTTGCATTCATCTTATATCGCCAATTGTGCATTGCTCATTTATTTCATCCACTATCCTATTTAGATTTTTTACCCTTGTGTTGTTTATATATCATTGCATATATTTTTATCTTTTAGGATATATCTTGTTGTTCATATTGCTTATCCTAGCTCACATATCTTGTTGTATTTTATACTTGCTAGGATAACGTGTTAATTAGTTTTAATTGGCATTTAATCGGATTAGATTAGCATAAGACCCTAATCACCCCCCCTCTAGGGTCTAACAATTGGTATCAGAGCTTGGTGCTCTTTGATTTAAGGTCTAATCGCCTTGAGTTAAAGATCCAAGTTAGCTTATTGTGCTAATCTAATTTTGAGCTTTATTTGTATCTTGCTTGCCTTTTATATTATGGATATGCATGGTTTAGGTTATGCCATCAATATTGCTCCTAGATTAGATAATTTCCCCTATGCCCAATGGTGTGTTAGATTTAAACTTTTTGTTCAATCTAAACACTTTGATTTATGGGAAATTATAGATGATGCTTATACTGTGCCCACTTTGGAGAAATCCAAGTGGAATAAGAATGATCATCGTATGTTTACAATGAACAATATTTTGTTAGAATATTTGCAAAATGCTTTTAATTCATCTATGTCTAACAAGTTTGTTCATTTTGATAGTGCTTACAAAGTTTGGAAATTTATAGAAGCACATCAAAGGGACTTGGAGGCGATCCAACAAGCTTTGGAGGATCTAACTTCAAGTTCATACGGAGCAACATGCACACGGCCACTAGGCGATAGCCCTAGTGAGGTTTGCGAGTTCGAACCCGATAATGATTTATCTAGTGATGAACTTGCTTGTGCTAGTGAAAAATTATTGCATGCCTATAACAAATTGCAAAATGATTTTAATGATTTAAAAAGCAAGCATGATGTTTTAAAATCCGATCATGAGAAGCTAGTGTCCAAATTTAATGTCATTGAAAATGAAAATACTATGCTTAAAGAAAGCAATGACTTATTAAATTTGGAAAATGAAAATTTGATCTCATCTATTGGTAGCCTATCTCATGCTAAAATTGATGCCATGTTAGAAGTAGAGAACATAAAGAATGATACAGCTTCTTTTATAAATAATTATTTATGCTCTACTTCTAAAAATGCATGTGCCCAAAAATAAAGATTTGAATCTTATGAAAAATAGTATTTTATCTTTAGATTCAACTTTGAAAATATGCATTAATAATCATAAGAGGCTTATGGACATGTGTGCCAAGACTAAGTCAAAATCATCCACTCATTATGCACACATGTATAGCAAAACTTATAAGTGTTCTATTTGCGTCCGTCAAGGTCATTTAGCTAAGTTTTGTTATGATGCACACAAACATAAGAATTCTAATGTTCCTTGTGCATCTCATATAGCTTCTTCATCTTGTACACTTACACATTCACATGCTCATTCTCACAAAGTTCATCATAAGCATGCTAGTGTGTTCAAGTGTGATTATTGTGGTCGTTTTGGTCATTTGGCCAAATATTGCTTTGATTTGAAAAGAAAATCTCATTTGACAAATGCTTCCAATAGACCACATGTTTTTAAATGTGATGTTTGTGGTAGGTTTGGACATCTTGCTAAATTTTGTTTTGATATACAAAAAGCTTCTAAATTGCAATATGTTCCAAATAGACCATTGTTTAAGAATGTTTCTCATTTGCAAAATAATTTTAAAAGAAAATCTTTATTTGCAAATGATTCCCGTGCACGAGCTAATGGTCCACAAAAACAAATGGATCTCTTTCATTGCACAAATTACAATCGGAATGGTCATTTGAATGAATATTGTTTTGACCATGTTAGTGCACCATATGTGCCTAAGAGGGTTCATAACCCTAGGGCTTTGAGCTTAAATGATAGGGGTCATGTCCCTAAATCTTTTGGTACCAAGAGTTCTTGGATACCAAAACAAATTTGATTTTCAAACTAAGAATTTTAATATTTTTATCCTTCTTTATCTTGGTTTTGAAAATTATGCTTTGAAATCTTTTTATATGAAAACAAATTATAATTGATAAAATCTTTTGTTTTCATGATTATTTGTTTTGTTTTGATGAGAGGTTTGTACTTATATAACCCTCCGGATTTATTGGGTGTTTATTCCCAAATCATGTTTACCGGATGCTAAAATGTTCATATAGGTTAATACTAGCTCAAGAGCTAGATAGAGTTGTCTCTCTTGATTTTTGAAAATCAATGATGATTTGGTTTTATGATTTAAACTTTGATTTATGATTTCAATTGGTTGATTTGTTTTCATTTAAAAACTTTTTGCATGATTCTCATGTTCCTCTTCTTTTGATTTCATAAATCTATTCTTTTATATGGTTTTTATATTTTTTTGTGTTAATGAGACACTATTTTCATAGACATATTTATATGTGTTCTCATTATCTTTATGTATGTGAGTAAATTTTTAGCATATTCATGTATGCTTGCTCACATATGTTTTGCCATGATCTTCATTGCATACATTCTATATGGCTTTTTGATAGGGGGAGCAATCCCTATATATATATATTCTTTTTAACCTCACATATGCTTATTGATAAGGGGAGCTTTCGCTCTCTTAATTCTTTATGTCCCCTTTTTGATGTTGTCAAAGAGGGAGAAATGTTGTGAGTATATTCTTTCTTGTTTATATGCATATGAATTATAATTTATATATTCATTTCCTCTCATGCATATATTCTTTTTGTAAATTGTTTGTCATCATCAAAAAGGGGGAGATTGTTGGCCTTCTTGTTTTGATGATAATTTACAAATAATTTATCACTAATGTTGTTTGTCTAGTGTTTGTGCATTCCTATGCTTTGTAGACAAACAACGTTGTTGGAGGTTGGCGGAATTGTGGAGTGAAGCATCGTACAATTCAAGTTCAAGATCCAAGTTTAGCTTCATCCGCAACGTGTACCAAATTGAGCTCATTGAAGATCAAGATTGCTTGGGTAATGTAGTTTTAGATTTTATATTATGTGTGTTATATACTCTAAGCTCAATATCTATACACACACATTTATTGGTTTCTTCATATATATATATATAGTTATATATATATATATATACATAAGTTTCTATGCATATATATAGTTATATATATACATACATAGTTTTGAGTTTTATGATTATGTATATGAAATTATATATTTTCTATTGTGTTTTCGAAAACATTGCATAGAATATTATATTCTTAGTTTATAGACTTCAATATCAGTTTATACATGTTTTATTAAGTCTATAAAAACATTTTACAATGTTTTAAAAGTTGGTTTATGTCAAAACATCAAAATTCAAGTATCTCATATTTTCATGTTTTGGACTATTTTGTAAAATGATGATATTTTTTATTTGGGAGGTCCTTTCTGATGACCAGTCGCTGTAGCATGTTTATTATCATGTCTACAATCATTCCCCAAAGTTTTACATTTTTTAGAATTTATTTGATATTTTTAAACAGCATTTTAAAATCAGCAAATCAGATTTTCATATGTCAGTTTTCGGTCGACCGCACCGGTCGACCGAACCTGAGGTCAAAAGTTCACTGGGCACCGGTCGACCGACGATTGTCCAGAGCTGGTCTTCATGTTTTTGCTCTCCATCGGTCGACCGACAGAATTTTCGGTCGACCGACAATAGATCCGTTGGACTTCAACGGCTATTTCTCTGAGCTGTTTGCTGGGGCTGTTTTTGTCTTTTGACTTGAGATTTTTAGCTGAGGTTTTGGAGGATATAAATACTCTCTTTGATCTCAGTTTTCAAGTAATCCAAGAAGTTTTTAAACAATGTTTTTAAACAAGGGTTTAGGGTTTTACTGTTTGTTTAAGTTTGGGTTTCTATTTACAAAGGAGGAAGTTTTCACTGCAGATTGAGGGATTCATTCTCAATCTCATTCATCCTCTTCTTTGTGTTCATAGAGAAGTTTTCTAACTCTTTTCTCTAGCAATTTCATTATTGATTTTCATATTCTTATTATTGCTAGTTTGCTATTTGAGTTAGATTTTATTTTACTCATTGTTACACACACCCACATTGAGCTTTTAGTATTTACATACATAGTATAGTTGGGTGGTGAGAGATTGTAACTTTGAGTTGTGCTTTCATTGTGTTCTCATTCATAGTTGAGAACAATCAATTATTGTATTGAGCCTTATTATGAGATTCACTTTGTAATACACTTGTACACCGAGTGAGGAGTGTGTGGTGAGAGTCGGGGATCGTCCCAAGAGGAGTGGCGTCGGTTGACGAGCCTAGGGAGAGGTTGTAACCGAGCACTTGAGGGAGACACGGCTAGGTCCAACACTTAGTAGGTGTAGAGTGGGATTACAATAGTGTGTTGATTGTAAAGTTTTCGGTTAGCTAGAAAACCGAGTGAGGTGTAAACGTTATTCGGATGAACGTAAAAAACCCGGTTGATAGTGGATTTCTCCCCGGGAGTGGGGAGCGGAGACGTAGGACAGAAGGTCCGAACTCCGTGATCATATTGCTTGTTTGAGTTTGTCTTTGGCGTATTTGTTTTTGCATTCATCTTATATCGCCAATTGTGCATTGCTCATTCATTTCATCCACTATCCTATTTAGATTTTTTACCCTTGTGTTGTTTATATATCCTTGCATATATTTTTATCTTTTAGGATATATCTTGTTGTTCATATTGCTTATCCTAGCTCACATATCTTGTTGTATTTTATACTTGCTAGGATAACTCATTAATTAATTTTAATTGGCATATAATCAGATTAGATTAGCATAAGACCCTAATCACCCCCCTCTAGGGTCCAACAATCAATACCTTAAAAGTTCTGCACCAGCTCTGATATCCATCTTTTCAGATTCTCTGTAGATAAGTGAACTAACCCGTGAAGCACGCAAAGACATTGACTGGAGTAAAAGGCATGGATTTCGTAGAGCATCAATTGCTACCACTTTAACATCCTCCGGTTATTCATTATCCAACTCAATACCTAATTAGCTGCTTCTAACTGAGAATTCAAGTTGATACCACTTCCTTCATAAGCGGGAAAAGTACCTCTTATTCTTTCAATCATCTGTGCAGCTAGAGTTTCACATGCCCATGCAAATATTTCTTTCGCTTAAGTTCTCAATGAGAATAATATCATCAGATATCTTGTTTCCCTTAACAGTTGAGTAAACAGCTTCTTTTTCACCAAGAATATGGAGATCATCAACTACATCAGCATCACAGCTTCCTGTACTTAACCTTCGAACATCCCTAGCTTGGTTAACATATTGATGTAGACGTCTTTGGTACTCTGCAAAAATCTTAGCAGATTCATCGGATTGTTGATCGTACGCCTCCAACATCACCTGCTTGTGCCTAAAGTCTTAAAAGAAATATACATCAACAGACCAAAATGCTAAGGGACAAACTAATATGGCGTACTTAAAGGGTCACTAATACTGCTAGAAGAATATGCAAGTAATGATATTATCACAAACCACAGTGTGACTCATAATCTTATGGGCCATTTACCCCCAATGAAAATGGTCACAGTGAAGGAGCACAAGAATCCACATAAACCATATAAGCCGTGTTACATTTCATTGTGCTGACAGATACAAGAAGCATTGCATTCAGGTGGGTCTAGAATGGGGTTTGAAGCCCTAAAAACAAGTTTTCCATGGAAATACGATATGGGCATCAAATTTGGTACCCTTCTGAAGTTGATAAAAAAAGTTGCTAACTTGATATACATGAGAGGTATCATTCAATGTAATTTTTCATTGCTTTCCAAGGTAAATAGATCGTTCTTTATTTATAATACTTATTTCTTGGCATTTACATATAAATTTCTGACATAGTTTGAAGTTTTTGTTGTAAGTTTAATTTCGATGTATATGCAAATAAGGTATCATATGTTTATCTTTTGTTGATTGCGACTTTTTTTAACAGAAGTTGTCGCATAACCTTAAACGTAAGATCCAAGATGAAGTGATCCTGCTCCAGCAACCATACAAATGGCAATGGAAAGTCGATACTAGGCACTATGTATTTTCATGACAAGAGTTGGTTGCTACCGTACATCCTCGTTTGGCACAAATCTTATACATTGTCATTCATTGTTATGAGCATTCGAGATCTTTGCCTATTCCCTTTTAAAAAAATTTGTTTCATGGAACTTTATTGGTGGTTTGGCCTGATTCTTTTATTCAACATTTGCATATGCTAGTATCTACCATGTGAATAGTGGAACAAATAGCATTCTGTGACACTAAGAGGTAAGAATTGAAGAAGTATACTCTTTACTTAGGGAGAAAAAAATGAAAGATGTTTGAGGAAGCTTCCTCATATGAACACTTCACCGATAGTTTGATTAATTGCTCCATTCATAATGATCACCTTTACCTCAAACATTGACAAATGATTGCAATAACCCAAAACAACTTTTTTGTATAGGTCTTGGTGTTGAAAAAGTTAAATTATTGGAAATATCAATAATTTTCCAAAATCCAACTACAAGAATGGGCAAAGTCATGAAATTTTCAATATCATTATATGTTTCAGACTTTGGGATCAAGATGAACCAGCCAATTATTCCACCACATCAAGGTGAAAGGAGAGTTTTTTGTGTGGATAGGGATATACAAATCAATATAAATATTAGTATACTCGTCAAATTACATTATATTGTGTTCAACAGGAACCAATCAAGTTTTCTACCTTTTTAAATTTTACCAATCTTTTATAAGATGGTTCTTTTGCTTTTATTACTTATAAATTCTAATGGATAATCAACTTTCTTCGAGACAAGATCTTTAGTTTCTTTTCAAGGATGTTGTTCACTTTATCGATAAAAATAACTCATTAACCTTATATTATCTTGTTTCATCTAAACTCCATTTTCTACTTTATTGCCTATCCTCAAAAATTAAATTTTCTCCATCTATTTTCAAGCTCCATATTTAGTCTTTGATCCCTTAATTATATTTTGTCTTCCATAATACATAATATGTATGTGAAAACACATTAACTAGGTTCTCTAGTAGAGTTCTATCAAATGTAATATTATCAAATATTTCAGATGTAATTCCACATATTTCTTAATCAAATTATATATTTTTCTTTTGAATACAAATGCATACAAACAAGTGATTGTACGTTGGCACACAATATTATATATGTAAGGTCATAGCACAAATGAATTTATGTCATATCTTACTTTACTATTTATTAAATGTTTGTAACCTTCAAGACCACTAAAGAAGTATCCGCTTAGACATGACCTTTAGGTATCCTCTTACTAATAATTTCTCTTCTCTTAGCACTCCTTAAAATAACTCATCTTCAACTTCTTGCTTTGTCATATAAAGTTTATTCCGGTGTATGATCATTAAATATATTTATAACTATTATCTATACGAGACGAGGACGGCTCTATTCCTTATTCATCTTATAACTAACTAGTGAACAGAACATTTTCGTTTATAATTTAATTTAAGTTATTCATGTACTACTTCTATATTTTGCTTTCCCTGTATATGCGTAGGTAAATGTCCTCTTAATTATTTTTCAAAAAAATTTACACCTAACCACTTGAGTTTCTATAAAAAATCATTAATATTTTCCTCTAATAATTGTCCACGCAGTTTCATCCATTTTTCTAAGAATAGATTATATTATGTCATTTAAACTTTTTCATTCACCGTTTCCATAGAACATGAATATTGCCTATCTAACCCTAAAAATTAAGGCCTCAATGTTCCACTCTGAGCAAAAATTATCCTATGCTTGCTCACCTAAATCATTCAGGAGGCAACACTTATATAAGTTGAATTAATTGAAATAATGAAAACAAGGATTTGCCCGGTTAAATGTGTAATATCCTTGAATTTTCTAGTAGCTTAATTATTTATAAATTCTATTGGCTAGTGAAAAATTTCGGGGTTCGAATAGTTATCAGCAACTATATAGAAATCAATATACATTAATATCAAGTGAATACAAAACATGACAGTTTACGGATGAAATAGCTATATGAAGTGGAACTCAAAGTCTAAAAAAGACGACAAGATGTAAGGAGAAAATTAAATATATAAGTAATTATGAAGTTGAAAACGTCATTACTAAGTGGACTCAAAATTAAATACAGGAGTAAATCTTTTTGTGTTTTTATGCTATCTGGTGCCTGAAGCATGTAGCCAAACTAACCACATGATACAGCCAGACCTAATTCTGTAAGCTGGGGTCAGTCCTACTAAAAAGTGAATATCTTTCTTTATAGAACTCATGTTGACAATCCATTTACGCCGTTAGAAATTGGACTCAAATAGCTATCCAATGATATAAAATTTATAGGTGTTTGACACGTTACTATGTTCAGAAATGGGTAGAGAAGCTGACTGGCCAGAGCCTATCCTGTTTGATAGAAAGATACCAGTGACGCATTTGAGTGTGATCCTTTAAAATTACACATATGAACCAAACAGAATAAGTTAGTACAGGGAAAATGCTTGTCTAAATAAATTATTAATAGAATGCCAAGTCCATGACGTAGCTTTCTAACTTCAAAATCGGAAAATAGTCCACACACTAGTTAGTGACATTCCATGAGATACAACGATCTAATATATGTATATAGTGTAAATGTGTAGGACACCCAATCTCGGACTTGGGCATCAAAATCAAGGACTCTACTCAGGCATCTGGTAGGGTAATAATTCTAATTCTTGTGCTTCTATCAGTTTGTGATATCGACATGTACAAGTTGTGCTTTGCATTCCACAGTCCTTGTTCCTAAAGATTTGGTTCTAAAAGTTCATTGGATGATATCTCATGTTGTTGACTGGTGTCACGAAACACAATTCCTTTTGAATAAAGAATACATGTTTGCCAGTATCATTTGATGAGACCTCACTGTAAAATTGCTTCTCATAATATTGTTAACAACATATGTTTGTTTTATGCTTTATTTAAGTGGACCAGTGTCACGTGTGAAGTAACATTTCACCTGTGGGTTTACAATTAAAAGCATGCATGTGATATAGTCCCGTGATCTGGAACAACTCAGAATCCTGAAAACAAAGCATGTTTGTCGATGGATTGGTACTTTCGAGATTTCAGTTCTCATTTCTTGAATGTCTTAGTACTCATCAATATTTGATATTTTTATTGATGCATTCCTAATTTTCTTCATATTACCTACAGAGCCTTTCGTTCACCACCTATTCTGTGGCTGCATTTGTCCACAGGCAGCGACCCAACCACGAATAAGGACCCCCCACATACAAGCAACTGCTAGGTACAATATATATTTTGGTTGTGATAAATTTTTTGTTTAGTTAAGTGCTTTTGTAGTTGTGACTCTGTTGTCAACCTGATATTTTTGGAGAATGAAATAAGTGACTTTGGATGTATATGTAAATACATGACATACTTATACAGGTTCGCCCTTGACCATTCAACTAGGTCATTCTGAAATTTTCTTGAATAATTAAACGTTATAAAGCTCGGGATGTTACAAAATGCCCTTTTATATATTAACAATAAACTATATCAACACCATAAACCAAATGCTCTTCCAAACGCATGCACAAGTATTTCCAGTGCAGTTTACTAAGTCAGCTAGAATTGAAGCAAATTTAAATCTTGCTGGTATCAACTTTGTTCGTACTTCATCAAACATCAAACTGATTAAAGAATTACTCTTTATCTCCCCCTACGTTATTCTCATTTTGGAACAATTACAATGGATTCAAATTAAAAGGAAAATTTCGTAAGACATCATTTCAACATCTAATTCCACAAATCGCCCACAAAAAACAATCACTGACTCCTACTTCATCAAATACTTCCCACAAGTATGCAAAATTAAATTTTTAGTAAATTTCACTAATGCAGCTAGAATTAAAGACCAAATATGTTAGTATTTGTTTGTAAAAAACAAGATAGTCCCACATTGGAATTTTGAACATTCTTTTAGAGGTTTAAAAGCATTGAATGCTTATTGGGCTTTGAATAATGGATCAAAGTGTAGGTTTCTAAACCCGCGTGCGGGTAGTGCGAATAATGCGCGATTTTGACGCGATTATTAGACGTACTTAGCACTTTGCACGCTTGCCGCTGCCGCTTAAATGTTCTATTTTTTATATATATTGAATATATTTTTTTTTAAATGTTATTTTGAATTTTAAAAAATTATGAAAAGACAAGTGACTGTTGAAAAGTAGTTGTTTGCTCCAAGGGGTGTTTTGAAAAGTTGTGACTGTTGGAAGCACATTTTCAAAACCTATAAATAGTTTATGTTTTCAGATATCTATTTAACAATTCTTTTTCTGAATCTTTTCTACCAAAAACATCTGCAATATTACAAACTTGTTTCACAACGAATTAAGGAAAATTCCAGATTTGCTTACTGAAATTTTCATTTTCTGTTGTATCCTGGGAAGAAAATTTGCATTAACCCGAAGCAACTTTGAATATCAAGTGGGGGCAAATATTTCTTTAAGGAAAGTGTATGTAGAAAAAATTGCAGTGAAGAAAATAAAAGAAAATTGACTTGTATTTCTTTGATTCCGGTTACAATTTGATTACAAAAGAGAAGAGAACGAATTTGGTTCTCCCCTTTGTTTAAAACTGGGTTCTTCACGGTGGCGATGGAGTGCCTCCCTCGAATGCTCGCGTCGAGTTTGCTCTCCGTTGACGATCCGCACATCTT